CTTACCGAATCAAGAAACAATCAGCAGGAGTTGGGGAGAGCAGCAGGGTTTGTAGGGGAGCACCTAGTAGTAGGGTCAGTTTGAACAGGTTAAATCTGAGGAGGGGGAGGGTCCTTCATGCGGAAATGCTGGTGTGAGTGTGGGATTGAAGCTCGGCTGGAGAGAGTTAGGAGTCACCATTGCGAGTGAGGCTTGCAGCTGTGGGGAGAGTGAGCTTTGGAGGGGTGAGGAGTGGGCTAGGCCAGGCTGAGAGATGGGTACACAAGAGCACTTGGGTGCTGCTTGTGTATCTTTCTAATTCCATCTTTGTAGAAAATGTGCAGTCTGAGGCGAGTTTCCTGGCAGCTCTTCTGTGCCTCCCGCCCTTCTCCGACAGCGGCTTGCTTGTCAGGGAGCCCAGGTGGAAGCCAAGTGCTGTGGTCCTCGGGCGTTTTTCCGGCTCCTCTCAGCGGGCCAGCCCCGGCTCTGGGGGTTTGGGGCTCTGTCTGTCTGTTGGGTGCCTCTTGTATTAATTGGTGATGACTTCAGGAAATGAGCCTGGATTTGAAATAGGGATTCCCAGAAATGTTCCAATTCTGTAGTTTAAACCTTAAAAAAAAGTAATGCCCTGAAAATTGGTGGATATTGCTGTGAAGAGTACTGTAAGGTGCTGGTTAAGTGTATGATCTTTTATTGAAGACCATATTACATAAGACTTCAAATGATAAAGGACATAGGAGGTATATGTTATTACAAGGAGAATCATAGCTCAACAAAACTGGATTGGTGGTTAATATTTTAACTGATCGGGATGATACAGCAGTCTTTTTATTCATATATCAGTGCAATATTTAACTTTTAAAGGAGACAATAACATTTCCTCTCAGCAGAGGTCACTTAACACAAGATTTGCAACACTGGATGAGAAATGTTATCCATTGACCTGTGGTTTGGGGAAGAAAAAAGATGGAGACCTTCTCCAAATAGTTCTTTGAAGGTATTTTATATAGGAGTACCAATTTATCAGAACCCCAAATCGGTATGTTTCCAGTGCTTTAATCTTATTTTACTTCTTCTGTGAATCTCATAAGCTTTCTCTAAACTGAAATACAGTCTATATTAAATTGGCTCAACCTCTAGTAGAGCCTTAATATTCAGTAGCTGAGTGGCCGTGGTGCAAGGTAAGTTGAAGATGATTTTTCTCATGAATGCTAATGAGGATTAATATTAAACTCCATCTAAACCACGTTAAATAAGTGCCCACACTTCCGAATCCCCACACTTCCCGTGCTGTTTCATATGCCCATGCCTGAACCTCCATCTGCAGGTATTCTTCTGGTCTCTGAATCTGGAATTCTGAAAGGAAAGCCTTCTAAATCATACACGCTGAACTACTGAGACTTTTAATCTTGCTGCTCACCATCTTGCTACCCAGCAGTGTTGCCTTGGGAGCTTGTTAGAAGTGCAGAATCTCAGGCCCCACCCTTGACCTACTAAATTAGAATCTACATTTTAAGAAGGTATCCAGGTGGTTTAAATATATATAGAAGGGCCGGCCCCGTGGCTTAGCGGTTAAGTGGGCGCGCTCTGCTTCTGGCGGCCCAGGTTTGGACCCCGGGCGCTCACTGACGCACCGCTTGTCTGGCCATGCTGAGGCAGCGTCCCACATGCAGCAACTAGAAGGATGTGCAGCTATGACATGCAGCTATCTACTGGGGCTTTGGGGGAAAATAAATAAATAAATAAATAAATAAATAAATAAATAAATAAATAAATAAATAAATAAATAAATAAATAAA